AGCACAGCCAAGATCGAACCCAGGCATCCCAGCCGCCCCCAACCTCCTAGCAGAGATGGGACCCAGAGATGGGCTCAGGCCGCCTTCCCCTGCACCCAGCTGCCCCTCATACCCCCCCAGCGCGGTGCTGCCCGCACCCCCTGCACCCAGCTGCCCCTCATCCCCCCCCAGCGCGGTGCTGCCCGCACCCACCGGTGCCAGGTGCGCAGCAGGCAGTCGGCGATGGCGCGGGGGCTGGGCGGGGGCCCGGCCAGGCGGCGCAGCTGGGCGTGGGGGCCGGCGTAGGAGGTGGTGAGGGGCGAGACGTAGATGGGGTAGCCCACGGGCTGGTCGCACGAGGAGTTCACCATGTTGCGCAGCGCCTGCTTGGCGTTCTGGATGCTGCCGCGCTCCGGGTTGCGGTTGCGCAGGAAAACCAGCTCCTGCTGCTGCCCGGCCCACAGCCCCCGCACGCACTCCCGGTTCACCTGCAGGGGGGGCAACGGTGAGACAGGGCCCGGACGCCCGAGTTCACCAGGCCTGCAGGCCTACCGTCTGCTCTTGGTTCAACAGCAACGAAGAGCTGACCCTGGGCCTGGACGCCTGGGGTCCCCCCCGCCGCATTTCATCTGGTTGGGGGAGGGGGGTGAGATGGGGCCAGGATGCCTGGGTTCCACACAGCCCCCTGCATCCACCCTCGAGAGACGCTGAGCTGGGGCAGGGGGGGCCTGGGCACTGGGGTCCCTCACCTTGATGACGCGGAAGCCGAGGTGGCGGCGGTGCAAAGTCACCACCTTGTACTCATCGGCGGCATCGTCCAGCACGTGGCGCAGGGCCAGCAAAGCGGGCGCGTTGGCCAGGATGGCACCACGCCAGGCCGGGTCACCCTCATGCGAGATCACTAGGCGCTGCTCGTGCCCTGCAATGGCCTCGTACAGCACGGCCGGATCCTCGTACTCGTCTGGTGACGTGAAATGGTCCTGGGGGTGTGGAGGGAGTCAGCCAGCCCCTCCACCTCGTCTGCAGGTGCCCAGGGGTCTCCCTCGGGAGCACACGTCTCCCCCCGCCCGCTCTTACTACCTGCCCAGGGAACCCAGGTGTCCAGACTCCCAAGTCCCGCCTCTCACCTGGTGCAGCTTGAGGGCCATGCGCACGCCGGGCGCCACGACGCGGTGCAGCAAGTCCATGTCGGCGAAAACCCACTCGTCACGGGGGGAGGTGATGCGGAAGTCCCCCTTGAACAGGGCATGGAGGCCGTATAGGAAGGGCTCCAGGCTGGGGGAGCAGGGGAGAGTCAGTGGGGGGTGGGGTGGGGTGGGATGGGATGGGATGGGATGGGATGGGATGGGATGGGGTGGGGTGGCATAGTTGGGGCGGAGCAGGGGCGTCTCACCTGGCCGACATGCTGTGAGAGGCAGTGCCCAGAGCCCGGCGGCCCAGCACACACAGCCCAAAGCAGAGAGTGACCAACGGAGAGTCCCACTCCTTGTCCATGGGCTGCGGAGACCAGAGCAGGCAGGTAAGGGGCTGGGAGCAGGAGAGAAGCCAGGCGTCCAGGCTCCCAGCCAGCCCCCTGCTCCCACCCCCAGCTCCACTCCCCTCCCCTCCCAAAGGAGCCAGGCGTCTGGGCTCCTGCTCTTGCTCCCTGCCCAGCGCAGGAGAGGAGCCAGGCGTCCGGGGCGCACCGTGGGGCACTGGGCGGCGCAGTGCTGGATCCAGGCCAGGTGCGCGTGGCGGAAGGCGGGCAGCGTGAGGCCGGCCGCGCGTTCATCGTAGTCCTCATCGATGTTGGGGTTGAAGGTGGGGTCGGTATCGACATAGCCGGGCGCCACGGCGCCGCGCAGCCCCTCACGGATGCCCTCGTGCCGCAGCCAGTCCTGCTGCTTGGGCGACCGCGTCACGTAGTAGATGATGCTCTGGGGGGCCGGCGCGGAAGTGGGGCATGAGCGCACCTGGGGCAGCATCCTCTGGGAGCTCTCCCGGGGCTGGGCCTATGCCCCGCCCCTCAATGTCAGTCTCAGCCCTGCCCACAAGCCCAGGCCCCGCCCACTCCTAAGACCCCACGCCCACACACTGCCCCCTCCAGTGCTCCAGGTTTTAGCCCCGCCCCCAACTCCAGCCCCACAAGGCCCCACCCCTTCCACACAAGAAGGGTCTAGCCCCGCCCTCTCCAGCCTGGGCTCCACCCCAAACCCAGACCCCACCCCTTTCCCAAGACTCCACCCTCCCCAGGCTCCGCCCCTTCTTGCACAGGGAATCTTAGCCCCACCCCCTCCAGCCCAGGCCCTGCCCCACATGCCCTACCACAAGCATTTCCCAAGACCCCATTCTCCTCCACCCTCTCCAATCCAGGCCCCACCCCCTTTCCCAAATCCCTCCTTCTCTAGGCTCCAACCCTTACACAGCCATGGAGATCATAGCCCCTCCCCCTCCAGCTCAGAC